AAAAAAAAAAAAGATGATAGCCTGATGATGTCTTTCTCAGGGGTGTAGCCTTTTATAAGGAACATTTGGGAACTTCCCTTTCTCTCTGCCCTTCCTGCTTTCTGGGACTCTGCCGGCCTCAGGGAGGCCCCACGTGGGCTGCCTGACCCTGAGAGTTGTTGGCACCCTGCCATGTTTCCACCCACGTTGCATCCACGTGACGCTGCACCCGTGTGATTTTCCTGCGTCCAGCTTCGCTTTGCTGCGTCATCTGCCTGCAGCTGCACGAGTCTGAGGAGGGCCCGGGCTGCCCTGGACTCATGGACCTGATTTGGATTGGACTGGGCCGCCTTCTTGATAGAAAACTCTTTCTTATACATAAAGGAGTGTCATTGGATTTATTTCTCTAGACAACCCAGCCTAACACAAATGTCTATGTTCCTAACCAAATACATCGTGCCTGATCCTAAAAACATTGCCCAGCACATTATCCCAGTAAAATCAAACTTTGTTTTCTCACCGTGTTTTGCCATCCCTCTCCTTAGTCTGTAGGTGAGTGGTTGTTTTAGCATTTGGCTAACATCTGTTTCATTGCAAAACTTTTTTCTTTGAATTTCTTCAAACCATTCACCAGTCACGCCTTGAAGCCATCTGATATCCCTCTTTGTCTTCTGGAGTTTGCTGAAATAAAGCAAACATATTAATGTATTTCGAAAATTCTTGGAATTTTGAATCCTCCCCCAGCCCCTCATCCACAGTTAGTACACTAACTGTTATTACCTGGTGTTGGAACAATATACATTTTAAGGCTAAAAAAAATGTTTGAGTATGATGATGGCAACAAATGTACAAATGTGCTTGGCACGATGTATGGATGTATGGATTGTGATAAGAGTTGTATGAGCCTCCAATAAAATGATTTTTTTAAAAGTTCTAGTGAGAACTTCCTTTCACCATTGTGTATAAATTTCAGCAATATTCTAAATACATTGACAACCTAAACATTTTTCCAGCAATTAAAACAATTATCAAGTCAGTGAAGACATCCTGGGTTGAGCAACATGCTAAAACTTGACCTAATAATGTAATGGAATTATAGATGATTTAATGACAGGTAGAAACTAGAACTCTGGGGAGTAGCAACTGGGGGGTCTTAAAAGCTTGTGAACATTTATCAAAGGTACAATTACTGGTCTTGTCCCATCTGGAG